GTCCACAATTTCACTATTTGTTGATGATCTGTACTTCTTCAAAATTTGGCTAATGTCACCTTTTCATCAATAGCAGTTAATCGGCTGTGCATGCCATGGTTTTGATTAACGATTTTTTTTTGGTTAGGAGCAAAGTCGAATGCCTAGTCAATGGGGGATTTCAACCGGTCTAAAAATTTCCATTGTCCGGACGGAAAGCTTCTTTACAAACCACCGTTAGGTCATAACAACAGACGTATGTTTCCCCTGTTTTCGTTTAATTTTTCTTTGACTAATTGTATTTTTTCGTATTTAGAACTTTTTATGACATTTTCCAAGTAGACTTGGAAAACTTAATATATAGACTTAATATACAATTATTAGTAGTTCTCGATCACATAGTCTATTCTTCGCAGTACCTTATTATTGCTAATATGATCCGCTCATGGTATTTTTATTATTTTTCGAAATAGCCTTAATTAAAATGATTAAAATTTGTTAATATCTGCTATTTTTTCAAAGTTCAGGTCTCCATGGCATAGACTAATGTTGCTCAAGCAGCATTTTAGAAAATATGTGGAGCGCATCCACATTTCTTTTGCATGTGGCGGTCAATAAACCAATCAAATGGTCTGTAGCGTTATCTGGTAATTTAACAGTCCTGCAGCTATGAACCCTTCACAAAATGACGAATTAATTACAAAATTATGTTTTATACCAAAAATGTAAAATATAAATACCGCGTGCGAACAAGTCAGTATCAATTCTACATATAACTGATTTATTGATATAAAATTTTTAACTATTAATAGCAAGTTTAAATGTGTTTTTAAAATATATAACATTTTAACATTTTAAAGAAAAAAAAAAATTAGTTTCAAATAGGTAAGAGCGTTGCGGAATGCCTAATCTCAAATACATATAAATAAGTATAATACAAATATTAATAAAATATTATAATATACATCTATAATATATACATGGATAATATATTGAAAAATTATATTACTAAAAAATTAAATAATCAAAAAGAAAATGTAATCCTTTCCATGTGAGTGAACATCTTTATTTTTTGTATGACGATATATATTAGCGTTTAAGGAAAAATTGTTATAATTCTCATTTAGTTTCCAAAAAATTTTTATGCGGTGCAAACAGTACAAAGGTATGTTCCAGTTTTTTAATATAAAATATTTGCAGAGCAGTAGTTACGTAACCCCGGTATGAAGGTGACCTGATATAATCGTTATATTATTGTATGACATATGCTGTAATAAATCAGGAATGTGTATTAGTTAAATATTATAAAGTAACTCATATACAAAAGTCTATATGAAATGTCTGTATGCCACTTAAATTGAAATAAATCAATAAATTGAAAAATCAAAAAGAAAAGATAATACCTTTCATGTTAGTGAAAAGTTTCTATTCAGCTAAACGAAAACATATAAGTAAGGAATATACTTTACTGAATACATCTAGTTGAATTTCTCTTCCAAATTTTTGTTTTTTTTTTTTTTATTAATTTTATAAGATTTTACTTTACTAGTATTTAACATATTCAAAACTTCAGAAAATTTTCTATATTATATACTTGTAATTAGTTTATATTAAAAAGAAATTTTTATAATAAAAACAAATTGAAATCATTTTTTCATAGGACGGTATATGTACCCATATGCGTAATTCTTTTACAAATCGGACAACCTTTCTGACTTCATCGTTTCCGATTTGCCTCCTTTTAACAAATAAGAGATATGAACCCATGGATAATTGATAATTAAATTGTAGATATAATTTTTTAATATCTCATATCTTAGGCTCCATAAATGATAGAAATTTAAAATTTACTGCATTTTAAAGCTAATTGATTCAACTTTCAAGAAATAGTTTAAACAATTAAGATTGTTTATATTTAAGTGCTGATATTCATTGTCAAATTTCAAAAAAAAAATATTTTCCAAATGTTTCCCAAGAATTTTTATTTTTTATATTTTATTTAAATTTAGTATTAAATTTTACTGGGAAATAAAACTTTTCAGAATGGTTTTTTTTTTATAATTTTTTAAATTTTTTTTTCCTTCCTCAAAACAAATCAAGCGCATATATACTTTGTTTCGGATCAATGAATGTTCAAAGAATCTACTAAAAAAATTCTTATATATTATTTTTGATTTCATTTTTTAATAAGATTCTATATAAAACCCAAAAATTTCAGGACGGTATTGTCCTTATAAGTATTTTTTAAAAATTTATTTATCATTCACCTTACACCAAGTACATACACACGAATTTTCAGTAAAAAAAAAGGGGGAACATATTATAAAATCATTTATTTTTTATTTTTGATATGAATTGATCAATAGTTTCTACTTAAAAATAAATATATTCAGTGTGTTCTTGTTTTTAGAAGTATTTAAAAAAATTAATTGATCATGCGCCTCTCATGTCACTCATACGCACCATAATACCATTAAATCAATTTTCCACAAATATGTTTTTATAATATTTCTGAATTGAATTTATCATTAAATTCTACATAAAAATGAAACTTTTTAGGATCTTCTTGTTCTCCGATTTTTATTATATAAATTAGTTTCGCCTCATCTCTGTTTTTAAGCCAAGTTTTTCTGAAAAACGCGAGCTACTACTTTCAAAAAGGTTTATTACGACACGCCTTGTGTACATTTCTATATATATATGTCAACCTATATCTATGTTATTTATTGAATTACAATAGATTTCTTCCGAGTTTGTCTTAGGTATTACGAATTACGAAATGTGTCTCTGTTTCATGTGATGCATTTTTTTTTTCTTAATATCACCATTTATTCTTACATGAGGAATTTATAGATTACAGAATACAGAATACCCGTGAGCTAATTGTGCCGAAAGCTTTTTCATTGTCGATAAACCATACAACCAGTACATTTTTTAAAGCATTGATATTTTGAATTAAAACTTTAATACATAGCAAAGCTTCTCGAGTTCCAAATACTTCTCTAAAGCCAAATTGTGATATTAGTATTTCTTCAACAGTTTTGCACTAAATTTGATTTTAACGTCAATATGACAGAAGTAACTATTTTCACTTTAACAGAAATTGTGGTATTTGATAGAGAAGTTTCGAACAGTAGTGAACTACAACAACAAAAATTATTTTTTTATTATTTTTAATTAAAATTCGGTTGAAATTATTTTTTATATTATTTTTGCCCAAAATTCGGTTGACCATTCGAGTATTGCCAAATACCTATGATCAGTAGTTTTAGAAATATTTCTTGTATTTAATTATTTGCAAATAATTTTTGTGAGACTGCAAGTACCAGAGGTTGAACTCGTGCCCTGTCAATTTTGATGTTCAGACTCAGCGCTCCTTAACCAACTGACCCAAAGCCGTACTTGGCTTTTATGTTCGCATATTTTGCTGGAGTTTTGTTAATTTGCTGTGTAAGTTTTTTTTTATTAACAAGTTCACTTGCTGTAGTCATAAAGGAGCTGCAGAATAATTGAATTAATTAATTATAATTTTATTTAAATTTAAGAAAATAATCCTGAGTCTATGCAACATTAGACTAATACGTTAGTATTTATTTATACCCAGTGGTAAAAAAGTGGACTTAAACCAGTCTTTGGGGTATTGCCCAGTGTCATATATAATATTAAATATTTGCTATGTTTATTAGTTTTACAATTTCAGATGGCACCTCATCTATCCATACTCTTACCACCGACTTTTATTTATTCACTTCATTTACTATTCATTTACATTTACTATTCATTTATTATTATTTCGTTAAAAAATTTTTGGATTGTACGATCATATCAATAACAAATAACTTAGCTGTCTACTGTCAGTAATGATTTCATTTCACTAATTTAGTTTTAGGAACAACGCTCGACCGAAAGTTTAGGGTAATTAAATTTGATATTAAGAGAAAATAATTTTCCTTTTACACTTATGTTTTAATGAAGTTCTGGAAAAATACCTTATAGCAAAAATAAAAAATTTTTATATATATACTAAAAATACTGGAAATCTAAATTATTTCAATACTGTATGCTGAGACAAATCGAATGTATGTTGTGCTTAGTGTACTTTGACGTACATAAGTTCAATTTGTAAGGTTTTCATAAGTAATTTCATAAATTTTTATCACTGAAATATATAATTGTAAAAAACAATTTGTAATCCAACTAAGATTTTTAAAATAAAATGTTTTAAAACTACAACTAAGCAATAAAAAATGTGTACTCCAGTGAAATAATGACAAGTGCTCATAAACTATTTTGAAACAAATTCACACAGCTCTGGTAAGACATAAAAAAAAATTAAATAAAATTAAATTAAAAAGTGCCGCAGTTCTTAAAAAATTAATGATAATAATAAATAAAAACACAAATAAAATTAAAAGTAATATGTGAGTATGTTAATCACTTGCTATACATTTTGTATTCCGTTGAAATATGGAAAATATACCGCACTTCTGACAGTATTGGGTCAGGTTCATCATCGCAGATGATGATCTGTGTTGAACTCTGTTAGCATCGATGATGATTGTGCCCATGTTCAACTGCTCCAGTTTTTATACAAATATGGACTTTGCTCCAAATTCGATACAATTAACGAAGTCATTATAATCTAAATAAAATAAATTTTAAAATATATTGAACCATAAATTAATGTAATGATACGACATTCCCACGATGATGAATGTGGTAAAAAACATGGAAGAAACAAAGTTGCTGACAAGAAGCAATTCTGATGATTTCATGTATAAATATATATGTAAAATACATATAAGTACAAGTACAATATATAAACAAATATTTAATTTTTTTTTGTGTTTTAATGCTTTCTGGAAGTGTGATAAGCCACAAATCAACAACAAAAAAATTTTATATACAGAAGTTTAATAATTTCGTATGGAATTTTTACAGTATTTATTGATTAATTTCTTTTTTTATTCTTTACAGATTTCCAAAAGTGTGAAATCAGTTCTTCTTTTCATAAAATATATGGAATTTTAATCTTATAAACTTATTGCTTATTAAACAACTTAAAAATGATTGAAGGGAAGCGGCTAACTTTACAACCATTACTTAGGTAAGCATTGTTTTATTTTATTAAAAAAACATAATTAACAAAAACAATTTTTTTTAAAAATTATAATTTTTAATAATTATAATAGTTATAATATAATTACAATTATTTATTTTTTCAGGTGAAAAAAAAAAATATTTAAAAATTATAATAAAAAAAAGAGCATGCAATTTAAGCAAAATTATAGGAATTTTAGGACTTTATTTCTAACATCATAAGGATCTTATTGGTCTTTAATCTGAAGATCGTGAGACCAGAGAGGTTTTCGATTTTGATGTGATTTCATTTGATATTTTTGACAGCATGTACATATTATATCTGCAACTACCGCAATTGCCATTTCTAAGTTATCATGTGGTATTAATTATAATAGTTTACAAATAATTAAACATTTTGTTTTTCATAGACAAAATCTTTATTTTCAATACTGAAATATTCCGTAGAACTTTAAAATCATAATACTTTTTTCCCTTTATTATGAAAAACCATTATCTTGATTTTTCTCAAAACATTACTCTAAATATACGCCCATAACTTTTTTTGGTTATATACACATAGTCAATAAAGTCTGCGTACACCTTACGAATTTTGATATGTGATTTAGAAATACAACATAATTAAATATTTTAAATTAAAATTTTTATATATATTTATGCTTTGTATTCTTAACTCCAAATAGCAAAAGACCAAAATTATATTCGTCTGTTCCTTCTTGAGATAACAGGATAAAAGTGTCCCTACATGTAAATATAGGCCCCATAAAGTCTGCGTACAGTTTGTTTGTTTTGATAATACCGTTATATTTAAACCAGTTTGTTCTTATTTTTGCTCACTTAGTATTATTTAGCATTTGAATTGAATATTTAGCGAGCTCACTGATCAATTAATTTTTAAGTAGTAACTATTTCAAAGTATGGAATCAAGGGGAAAATAAATTAGTGTGTATACGAAAGAAAAATAATTATTAAACTATGGAAAGATGGAAAAAATTTTCGAAAAATTGGTGAAACTATTGGAAGAATGCTTTTATCAGTCCAGCATATAGTGAACAACTTCAAAGAAACCGGAATTTTAACATTTATACCGCGTTCTGGCAGTCCAAAAATTTTATCAGTCCGAAATCCTTGTGTATATTCATATTATATTAAAGCTAAAATTTGTACGAATATCATATATGCTACATAACTTCAATGTAATTTTATTGGTTTAAAAAGAAAACGCTGAAGGAAAAGTAACTCCACGCCGAATGTATGATGAACAAATAGCTGATCCTTCTACCCGCGTAAGTTTGGGTATTAACCACAGCCACTACGAGTCCAACTTTAACTGGTCAGCACAACCGAAGCTGCGAGCTAGTGACCCCTGTATGACCAGGATTTATACCTCTGGTCAAGTGTCACAAGCTGGGACAATACGTACTACCATTTACTATCTTGTAAAGTCACGGCATAGCGCAGGGACTTTAGTCGTCTCTTACGGCAAGCATGCCTACCTCGGGAATATTCTGACCCCTTTACCCGCAAAAGGAGCCATCGCCTTACAGTTTGGCTTTTTTATTGCTTCGGATCGACCTCGATCCGTGATTGTTGAGGTGTTTCCTTCGGCGTCGTCAAAAGCTTACTTTTCGTCGTCGCAGATCTGGGGTAGAGCCCACAATGATTTCATTTTGTCGCTTGAGAAAACCGACGAATAATGGCGCTGATTACGTTAGGAACTAAGTATGTCTTGTTCCATATAGGTAACGTTACCTAGTAGCCGTGTGACTTGAAATGGATTTTTATATCTGGGTTCGAGCTTGCTTGAGGTGTCAGTACATGGTACCTCATACACAGGCATCGGTACGTTGTTTAGCCTTTAGTCGTTCTTTATTCAGTACACTGCTTCTTTACTATTAGTTCAATTTCGCTAATGTGAAGTTCACCTTTCTTTTTTCTACCTCTAATCTTATTATGTCTACAGATATGCAAGATTTCAAATATGATTTTATTAAGTTCCGCATACGAGCAAACCACATGTCTTCACTTTTCTCTAGACCAAGATGTCCGGCTTTATCGTCTGAATATTATTCTCTCTTGATGGATTGCAATTTATTTTGCTTTAAATATAATATGTACGTTTGCTGTGAGAATATTCTAAGCCTTTTCAAGTAATTATTTGAATTAAAAATATAATAATACTAAATGAATTTACTTTTAAGCAAGTGAATTCAGAAAAATTTTTGAAATTGCTGAATTATGGTTCTAAAGAAAAAAAAATGGGTATGAAGTTCATCATATTCGAGAGATTTGAGCTACGAATTTACAAATTTAGACGTTTTTATAAAAGATATGTCTAAATTACATTTATATACTGAACACAATGTGGTCTAAGTAATAGTCTGAAGTATAGAGATATTTCAATATTTAATATTATTAAAGTATTTAAATCACTTAATTAATTGTGATAAGCTAAACAATAATTAAAAATGAAATAATTTAATTAAATTATTTTTCTTTTTTTTGTTAACTTAAACACGAGAGGTAATAAAATATAAAGCAGTCATAACAACAGCGACCTCAATCAAAACTTAATAAACTCATGAGTAAAATTTGATCTTTGTTGCATTGAAGCATGCAATATTTATTAACCACTTATGTCAGTTTAAACAAAAATATTAATTTTAAATAATAAATAAAATTTTGAAAAATTATGACATTCAACAGACATGACATGTAAACACGCAACTGAGGAATTCCAGATGGAAACTGTAGGCTAAGAGCGATAAGAAAATGGTATTCCAGCATACGCTTAACCCATAGCCTTACCTATTAAAAGCGCAGGATAGTGAAACATTGAGAGACAAATGGATTGAAATCTTGCGAGCAGGTGGCAGCACTTGTCTAAGAAGTATTTAAGAAGTAAATAACTGTCGAAAACGTATATTGTTGCGTGTTTAAATCTGTTTTCACGTCAATTTACTGTTCCCTTATCATTTCCACTAGACATCAACCCAATTAAAGCTCAAATGTCAAAAAGATAAAGACATGCATGTCAGGTAATAGATGAATGCATCTGAGCTCTTTGCTAATAGAAAAAATTTGTATTCTAGAAGTCGACATTTAAAAATTTGAGAAGACACTTCATCGGCTAAATCGATTTAAATGTAATTTTAGAAATACTATTTTTGACCTCATACTAATTTTAATAGATAATTACTTCAATGAAGATTTGTACAGTTCAACATTTACTTAAAAGTACTAATAAAAGTGTTACATACATAAAAATTAATTTTTAAAAAAATTAAATAATTTTTCCGATTCTTTTGTTGAATTTTTATTCATCAAAATTCTTATATTGAATTTCTTCTCACCGCTACATTGCACGTGAAGAGATCGCACCCATGATGAACGAAGTATTATCAGTAATTTGAAGGTTACACTTAACAGACATATTTGAACCGTCTTTAGGAAGCATGTAACCTATCTATCATCATTTCTTTCATTTGCTTTGAATCAAAATTTAGAAAATCAAATGCTCAAATTTCTTAAACTTCAGATAACTCAATAAACTGGAATAATTCTACAATACATCATTGTGGATAATATTAAGATATTTCAGATCTTAATATATAATTTCCCAAAAAATAAATATTTCCTTTTATTAGTTCATTATTATTTCACATATGATTGTACTTGCATATAGAAGAAGGAACTTTATCTTACACAAGATTATATCAAAAATTTAGATTACATTATTTATGAGACTTAAAATTAGTGTTGGTTTTAATCTTATCTATAGTCCATTACTGCTAAGACATCGGCACTGCTAAAAAGACATCAATATTTTTAAATATATATTAGAACATGAACTAATAGGATATTTTTAATATTAAAACAATATAAATAAAGTTTGCATATACATACATTTATTTTTATTATATATATTTACATTATTTATAAAAAATGGAGTATTATTTCGTTATTAGATTTGAATAGAATATTTTTCTATGTTCTTTGTTTATAAATATATTACCTGTTTAATGATTATTTATTGTCGGCTAGAGTTTGTGACATTTTCGGCAAGAATTTTTATTGCACTACATATCATATTATCTATATTATCAGCTCTTCTTGGATAAAGATTAATATTGGGACTAATATAGGTAATTTTTTAAAGAACAACAACGTCTATAAGGCTTTAAAGAGTAAATAAATTTCTTTGTGTCCAAGTTATGTTAGTTCTTTTGCTCCCGGTGACATCTTAGCGAGGTTTCATTCTTTCTAAGCCTCATCCTTTGTAGTGTACTCTTTTCTCTTAACAGGACTTCCGAATCTACCATCGGTTTTCAAACTAGTATTTGTTTTAAAATGCTTTCTTATCTCTAATAGTCATTATCACTATGTCTCAGATTAAATAACTATACGAGTGGTGTTACTATTAACTATGGGCTGTAATTTTTGGTGCTAAATTAATAAAATAGTGTGTGCAAAATCATCGGTAGTCATATATTATCATATATTATGTTATCATTTCATAAGTACTAATACATTCAAGTTGATAAGTTGAAATTACATGCAGTATAGATATAATAAAACACATATTCTTTTATTTATTATTAATTTCACAATTAAGTATTAAAAATAATTATATACGAAACGATATAAACAGTTTGTTATATTGAAGTTCTTATAAACCCTTGTATTTGCTAATGAGTTCTTCAGAGACTTTGTTTAGTCTTTTTGTAATTAAAAATTGATACTCGTATACTTGATTCCTGTTGCAATATTGGTAGCATAGAAAATAAAAATTCTTTCATAAAGTTTGATTCTTTACATTCTTGAGACCTCCAAAATATTTTTTTGTTATCAAATATTTATTTATAATACTATATATATTTATATAAAGTGAACAATGATGAGTTACAACTACAGTAACAAATACGTTTATGTTGCACCTTATTCTTATATACTCTATAAGTCTATTTATTTTGAAGTTTATATTATACACTTTTGTGCTAATATATT